CGGGGGCGGCGGCGGCGGATCGGGCGGTCTCCCGCTGCCGGCCAGCTCCAGACGGGTGACACCGACCGCCTCCTCCTCTCCGATCCTGATCCAGCTCTTGCCGCTGCTCCTGTTCCGACTCGGCCCACTCAGCCTCGATGTCCTGCCACCTTCTGTGTCGGTCTATGGTGAGCTGGGACCCAGTGACGTCACCGGCGACCTCCGACAGAGCTGCCGCCGCAGGTCTGGAAAGGAGACACATGGGACTTAGACGCCGGAAGGAGAGACTGCTGTCTGGCGCGATAGAGCCGCATTTACATATGGCTCATATCATTTTACTAATGTTGTCACATCTCTGCGTCACAATGTTGTTACACTCGTGACCAAAGCCAAGATCTTGAATGATACTTGAAACTGTCCTTACTCAGACAACACGAAATGTTATTTCAAACTTTGCAAATGCATTCAAATTCTATGCGTGCATGCTGCATTGTTATATCTTTTTCAGAAGTAAAAGAAATCTCGACGATGAGGTTCTTGAAGGATCGGGGCCTTAGCGGCTGAGCCCATCTAGAAACGCGCATACGCTTCCTCTCCTCAGCATCACAATGCAGCGCACTTCATAGTTACATATGGCTCTCGGACGGTCCTAAGGATCATTATCCATGCTTGAGCGAGTCTTTTATTTGCCTGAGGGTTCCTGTCCGCACGGAAAGATAGACGGTAGATACCAGCTGCAGATGATGTACAGTCTGTCTTAAAAGTACCGCGCAAAGTGACGGTGGATCCATCGAGCCTGATTGAGCAAGGGCCTGCTAAATTTGGGTCACCGAAGCAATTGACATCCTTGTCCATTCCCTAGGTCAATTGGTCAGTGACTTTTAAATTAAAACAGGCCCTTTCTCGGTCAGGCTTGATGGATCCACCGCCACTTTGCGCGGTACTTTTAAGACAGACTGTACCTACCGGAATGATGTACCGGGTCGTTATTCGCACTTATTTTTACGCACTTGTGAGTTGTGAGTTGTGACTAACATATGACCTTACAAAAGATACGTGCAAGATAAACGCATGAAATGCACTACCAGCGGTACGGCTTAAACTTTTGCTATGCTAAATAAATCGCTCATTTTCGTCCGAGCATTGAAAATGACCAGCTAGTACTTTGTCAGTAGAGCGCACTTGATGGTTCTGAAGTGAGCATACACGTCATAGTCGGTCATGCTCTTCTACACGTGAATGGTGGATAATAATGACATTGATTACCCATGCCTCATTTCGAGGAGTAATAAGGCTGCCGATGCTCATGATTGCATTGCATTGGGTAGATAATCCACATTGAAATTGCAATATCTGTAATAGCGTAGCACTGATAACCGGACCCACAGAATCGCAGCCGCATAAAAATGCATGGCTGCCTCGCTGTTGTAATCCATCCTGGTCTCTTCGACAACTGAATCAATGCGTGCGGCTCATCTCACGCTCCCGTATCCGACCCCAGCCATTGAAGCGTGTTGTCTTATTATCATGCGATAATCTGGTGGCGCGGAGACGTTTCTGGCTCCGCCTTGGACCCGCTGAGTTCCCCAAGGCTCTACAAGGGAAGCCGGCAGAGTGGCCACACGCTGCGGAAGCTCTGGGGGAGGGGGGAGGGCAGCACCCCCCCCCCGTATCGCCATGGTCGGCGGCTGACCGGAAGTACGTCAGCAGAGACGGGCGTCGGTAGCCGGTCCGTCGGCCTCTCTCGGTCAGCGGGGCGCCGGTCGACCCCAGCCGGCTGACCCGTAGTCGGCGCCTCGGGCGGTAGACGCAGTGCCAACGCCGCCTGCTAGTCCATGCCAACCACGTGATTAACAGAGCGGTGCTGCCGACGCGTGGCTGTATCGAACCTGAATGTCGGTACTCGATAGTATTCGCGTGTAAAGACCAAAAAAGTGGAGATAGTGATACAGAGGTAGGTCAAAAGATCATGTTTTTGCATATTACTCCTATACGTTCATTCAAAGTACAGACATCTCATTGCCAGGCAATTAAGGTACTTGCATACACCGTCGCGCTGTTCTTGTTACTCGCAACGCCAATGGAACCGATGCCGATAAGAAATCAGCATAAGTGTTCGGGTATAGCTTATTTCCTACGGGCAATTACTGGCGGGCGATTTACGGGCGCGCTGCCCATGCTAGTCCCGAATTGCTGCATGCCTTGTTCTGGGGAATGCTTTCTGCACCGGGAAGAATAGAGCTCATCACCTTCTCTTATTGAAAAGAAATGGCTTGGACAACGATTTCCCGACTGAAGTGGCGCCATTGTGTTGAACAATTCAGCATGTGATTGCCACTCAACTGAAAACTTCAGCCTAAGTGGTGTCACAATGCCACCTTTCAAGCGTTCGAACGCGACAGCGTTTTGAGGGCACACAGCATCAACTGATTAGTAAGTCAATGCGGATTGAGGGCATTCGTCGAGTGTTTGTTGAACTTCTTTTAGTTTACATACAAAGCGTCTTGGGATCGAAAACGCGGCCAAGGTATATGACGCAGTAAATTGACATAATGTCGGGCCTGGTCTTCAACTTTCAGCTAAACCAACTGGCTTGCTATTCAGTTGTTATTATGCAATACACAGGCATGAAAGCGGGACTATTCTAGTGCGGAATGGATGGACTATACTCAGGTTTCTGGACAGCACATATATGAAAAACACCTCTCTCAGTTGGCCAGTGCAAAAAAAAAACATCCTGAATTATACCTCTTACAAGTGATCTGACCTAAGGAGATCTCTACAGTATCTAAATATCGCAGTTGCTCAACAGCACATTATTATAGGTATGTTAGCAGCTTAGACTTGGAGCATTTGACGGTTTTTACTTCGTATCATATTGCTCCTTCAGCAACAGTGGCAACAGTACCAATCGATCGATCGAAACCACTCTGGGCATTGCCTCTTGAGTTTTATGTCTGTGCGGATCGAGTGCCTCGAACAAGGACATGTCAATAAAGTAAGACAAGTGGAGATGTTGCTGCCTCTACCTGTCGGCTGTCATTCGAGAAATGCACCAATCCGTCCGTGAAATGGAAACATTTTATTAGATAACGGGTGTCAAGTCCAAAATGAGACAAAATTGAAATCGCTCTTTTTTCAACCTCCCTTAACCCTCGCCGGCCGAGGGGGGGGGGCGGGTGCCGCCCCCCCCCCATAGGGTTTTTTCGCGATAGCTCCGAACACGCTGGCGATAGAGAGCTGAAACTTGGCATACCTGACCTTTGATCCAAGCCGCATCTTTTGACACCAACCGCATTTTTGGGTCAGGTCAGGTCACTGACCTATGACGTCATAAGTGAACCTCTGCACGGTCTTCAGATGTCGCAACTTCGCAACGCCCTCACTGCCAGAGGAGATGTCACAGGGAAATGAAACTTGCAGGATCTAGTATCCATTATGAGTCTCACAACTTGTATATCTCGGATTTTTCCTAAAGGTCATATGAGGTCAGGTCATTTTCGTGACCTCACCATTATAAGTCAATGGGGAAAAATTCAAACTGCTATTCTGGCGCCGGGAACGATCTCCAACTATCTCAAGCACACAGAATCGTGATTTGATGCACTCCTTGCAAGGTTAGATGCGTCATTTGCAATGTTGACCTTCCGTGACGTCATTTATGACGTCATCAAGGTCATATTAGTTTTTCGTCAATAACTCCCGATCGAATTGAGCTAGCGAGTCGGGAAAGCCACCAATGGACTCAGGAAGACCTGCCGAATCGAATGATATGCGACATGACCTCTTTCGACCAACTTCGTGACCTGGGGGTGCTGACCTGACCTTGACCTGAGGTCAACACCCCAAGTTGACCTGACCCGGACAAAAAGTATATCATTCGACGCGCCTGATCAAGGCGAACACGATGCTGCCAAAATCGCGGCTCTGCGGCCGTTTTTTGCGAAGTTATTCACCAAAAACTGAACCGTACCCTGGGGCACTTGACCTGACCTCAGAGGTCACCGGTTGACCTAGGACCTTAAAATCGGGTACCAATCTCTGCGTCTCGTAACGGCGCACACGCTCGTTTTTTTCCGCGACGCGCTAGCTCCACCAGGGGCGAAACGGCGAGGGGGGGTCGTACCCGCCCCCCCCCCCCTCGGCCGGCGCGTATGTAGAAAACCAATAGGTCCGGCGAGGGTTAACCCTTTAGATATTCACCTGAAATTTGGACAGAATGTCCATACGTGAATTGCACGAGCATGCTGTTAAAATATTGTGGCTACGTATTGAGGTCAGTCGTCATGAAGCCTTTGAGCAAGCAAGCCGCAAGAGACATTGTCGCGAGAGTAGTTGACAAAACCCGAACTTGACTAAGGCTCAGGTTTTCCGCCACGTTAAATCGCTTGGTATTCCACGACCGACTGATATATCGCGTTATCAATACCTTCCTAGACAAAGGACACATACGACGAGCTCAGAATGACAGGCCTGCTCCCAAAATGTCAGCAAAGAGGCGCCAAGGCCTTGTTCGCATGGCAGACGGCAAAGTCGGCGTCTCACTTCGTCTCTTAGGCCTCAGCTTTGGCATAACGCATGACAGAGTGAGACACATTCTCAGAGAGGAAGGGGTAAGATATAAGATGCGCCAGAAAGCTCCTCCGGTATCTGCTCAGCGAGAACAATCTCAAAAGGGCCGCCTGCGACTCCTTAGCCGGGGAAAACTGAGTGCCACTCGAGAGCAAGATGCCATCATGGACGATGAAAGCTACTTCACCTACACTGGCTCAGAAATGCCACAAAACCGTGGTTTTTACGCTGGGCCTGGTGGAGACATACCTTCGAATGTGACGTACCGTCCGATTGGAAAGTTCCCACGTAAGCTTCTCGTGTGGATAGCCATATCACCCAGGGAGTAGCAAAACCAACAATTTGCCCCAGTTCAACAAATGTTAGCGCCCATGTCTACATCACAAAGTGCCTGAACAGTAAACTCAAACCGTTCATCGAGGACAGTAACCGAAGGGGTGGATATGCATTTTGGCCAGACTTGGCTTCAGCTCATTATGCACGTGCCACGTGCCAGTTTCTGGAGGAGGCTGGCATACCTGATATTTAATCCGCTAGGAAAACCCGCCGAATGTCCCGCAGCTGGGACCAATTGAGGACTTCTTGGGCATACTTAAACAAGAAGTCTACCGTGGTGGCTGGACAGCGTCATCCGATCAGCAGCTGCGTGCCAGAATCCTGAGCAGTATCAATAAAATTGTCCCGGAGGTGCCGCGATCGATAATGAAGATAGCAGGAGAGCACGTGCGTCTGGCAGACAGGCATGGACCCCTGGTTCAAATTCATTAGTACCAGTGGACTGGCGACAGAACAAGGTATATGTGGTGAAAGTTTCGTTAAAATATCTAATAATACACAGTGTCTACCTTAATTTTGCGTTTGTCCCATTTTGAACTTGACACCCTTGACACTCTGGAAGCAGTGCAATAATTCAAGTTTCCACAAGTCTAATATAGGCACTTTGGTAAAAGGGAAATAAAAGATGAAATGATATGAAGAAGCTTCCGACGATGATAAGATATTCTGGATTCCTCTATTGTTTCGTTTAATAAATTTTTAATTTATACGATTTTTCAAAAGAAAATGCGCTCTTTCGAGGTCATATATAGGGGAAGCGGGGGTAACACCGCCACTGTGGGAAACACCGCCACCCCATCTGGCGGCGAAAGTATGAAATGTGAAGTGTAAAAATCCGTTATTTCCTATTGACCGCACGAAGGTAAGCGTCTTCTGATTTGTGTTCCGGTGTTTCAGTGTAATCGAAGCTCAATGTGGGCATTTAAAGAAAAATGCACATTCTCTTATAAAAATTCGATGAGTTGGGAGCACTTTTGAATGTCTTTAAGTAGAGACTCATTTTGATTTACTTGATTACATCGAAAAATAACTGATCGGCTTTGTCCAGTAAGATAAGTTTGCTTAACCCGCGCCGGGCCGGTGCTCTGAGATTCCGCGCCGGGCCGCGGGGGGTGTTTGAACACCCCCCCTTCTAACTCGGCTCCTGGGCCACGTAGCGACACGCGGTAAGCGGCAATCGAAAGAACGTCTAAAATAAGGATGAAAACACTTCGGTCATTTTTTGGGTCAGGTCCAAGGTCAGGTCACCAGAGGTCACCAAAGGTAAAATGTTGACTATTTCAACATTTTGGAAACTGCCAACGGCTATCTCGGGAACCGATAGAGCTACAGCGCCGCAAAAAAGCGCATTCGATAGCCCTTTTACAGACCTTTCTGAGTAATGTTCTCAGATTTGACCTCAGGTAAACGGTTTAGCCTCCAGAGGGCAAAAACTCCAAAAATAGCCGTTTTTACGAAAAACGTTTTTCGGCAATAACTTTTTACTCAAAAGAGCTATGACATTACTTTTGCCAGCATCGTGTTCCTCTCGTCGAGACGCGTCGAATGAACTATAATTTGACCTTGAAAGGTCAACTTGAAAATTTGACCTCAGGTCAAGGTCATGACCTGACCGGAAAAGGTCATGTTGCATATCAGTCGATCCGCAACGTCGAGCCGAACACATCTAAGGCGTTTTCAGCGCTCTAGCACGCCTCTATCAGAAGTTATCATCGAAAAACTGTTAGATTCTGTTCGTGACCTGAGATGACCTCGGGGACATAACGAGGGGTCACAGTTACCATTTTCTGGTTCAGTGTGTCTATTTTACCTACATCTCGATGTTTGAGCGTGTCTAGAATAGCGTTCGTGCAAAACAGACGCTTTTCAGTTTTCTCCCATTGACTTATAATGGAGAGGCCGCAAAATTGACCTGACCTTAGGTCACCGATATCAAAATTCCGAGATATACATTTTATAGATAGTGTTGCTCTAACCAATCGCTGAAAGTTTCAAGGCAATCGTTCAGTCGGTGTAGCTATGACGAGCATTCTTATTTTTTCTGAGGTGAGGTCACTTGGCGTGACCTGGTGACCTGACCTAAGGTGACCTGGGTCTGAAATTTTCACAACATGTGCGGAAAAGATGCACGAACAGGTGTGCCAAAAACGGCGGCGCTTCGCGCCGCCGTTTTTTAGATATCTGCGAAAAACCGCAAGGGGGGTGTTCAAACACCCCCCCGGCCCGGCGCGGGTTAAACCGTGTAGTACATTCTTACCGCTGGCGATTTTTGCTTGTGATCACTTATTGGGGAACACCGCCACCCCGTGGCGGTGTTACCCCAATTGAGGTTGCGGTGTTTCCTGTTTGTAGCGTGATAAGTGATGAAACTCCAAAGACACGCTTTATTTATGTTCGAAGATGTTCCTAAGTCGGGAATAAGCAGCTTATTTGATTTTTTTCTTTATATTTTTCATGCATCCCGACCAAGCACTTGCCAGCTGTATAAAACTGGCAAACAGCTGATGAACCTATACAGCTATTTAGGTGTCCATTACCGATTATTTGCGAAAATTACCACTTACCGACAGGAAACTCATCGCACACGATCTCTGAACAATTAAAAGCTTTCGTAGGAATGGGTTGGGTTAACATCAACACCGGTGGCGGGGTTACCCACACAATTTGTAGGCAGCAAATATGCAAGGTATTTTTAAAAGTCGTGATACATGAAAACCTTTTAGGAGCATGCAAAATAAGTACCTAAAACACGTGAGAAAATGTTTAAATATTGTAACCAAAACAATAACTACCGAGAGACTTCACACATATTCTCTCATTTTGGCGAAAAGCTTAGGGGGGCAGTGTTACCCCCGCTTCCCCTACCTATCTTATACGTTACCACTTCCTTTCATTATTGATGAGCGATGGCTTAGATCAAACCAGCTCTGATTGGTTGAAAGGCACCTTAGTATGATTAACCCTCGCCCGCACATTGGGGGGGGGGGGGTTGCCAGCCCCCCCCCCCCCCCCAGGCAGTCTTTCTGCTCTGCACTCAACATTTTTAGAGCTAGAAGCCTGATTTTTCGTACAGCTGCTTCTCTATCTTTTTTATGTCCACTGAAAATTTCAAGTTACTGTGGTCTTTGGTTTTGGAGATATGACCTTGTTTTTCAGGTCATGTCATGACCCAAAATGACCAATTCTCAACATCTTGCGTTGGCTATGGGCCTTGTAAGCTTTTGACACCTTGCTTTCGGCCTTTTTTGCTAGTCTTACGTCCCAGTCCACCTATCATGGAACACGTTGTTCGACGATGTACAGATGTCAAGGTCAGGGTCAAGGTAAACCTAGGTCATCTAAAATAATTGCGTTTTAGACAAGCTGAGTTTACCTACTTTTCGTGAAGTTTTTTTGACTGCATTTTCGGTAAAGCTTCTCAGATCATGATTTCGTGTAATATGGACACATAAACAATCGGTGCACACATCAGTATACACACAGACACACACACACACACACATACAAACACCTATCATTGACCTTGACCTAACTTGACCTGAAATGACCTCAGCAGCAAAAACCTGGTCGGGTGGTGTGACAAAGAGGTTCTTGGCACCAGAAAACGGCATCGTCATCGGTATATGATAAGCAGCGCACTTGACATCCAACGGTGACCCAAAACAGCAACATTTTTTAGTTTGACCTGACCTGGTAGGTCAATGACTGACCTGAGAAGGTAAAACTGGGTATCATTGGATTCGTCTCTTCCCAAAGAATCTTTTTGGTCTTTACCGCTAAGCTCTATCTCCAACAGGAGCGAAATGTCACGGGGGGTGGCAAGTGGCAACCACCCCATCCTCCATCCCATCCATCCATCCCCCCCCCCCCACAAAAAAAAACTTACCGTGACCGGACTCCATTGATCGGCTTCCTTTCATCTACAACCGCACGGCGGCGCTCGGAGGTAGCGCCACCTGTTGTGTGGTTTATGCGGCTGCCGCCAGATGTCAAGGTGGTCGCCGGCTGCGCGGGCGGCGGCGGCGGGCTGCTGCAGCTGCCGGCGGTCACGCTGCTATTTGTGCTCTCCGTGCCGCTGCAGTCCGTGCAGTTGTTGCTGCTGTAGCCGCTGCTGCGCGCAGCAAACAGCTCAGCCGCAGCGCCTCGCCGGATCGTCAGGTCCAAGTGCTGTGCGAGCTTCAGGACGTACACCGCCTGGGTAGAGAGCGGAAAAGATGCCGTTATAATTCTTTGGATGTTTGGTTGAGCCCACAAATGTGATTTTAGAATAAGGAATCTCCACTTCCAGCCTCAATCCCCAGAATCAATTATCAACATTTCTTCTTACATTCTCTATTTCGGGCTGAAAGACACTCCGCCGTAGGTACAACCGAAGGGCGGAAGATACCTTCCGTAAGAGGATAACTCTTTTACCTACCGCCTTCTGATTTTGTGACTATCTCCTAAAAGACGCAACGGTCGCTTCTCTAGAAGTGACCCAGAGACCTAACACATCCACCTTTTTCGTGTACTGCTATCGGACAACACCTCCGCCCTGGAGCAGGCTATACCTATCATTGGATCTAGGTAGGTAGGTATACACTTGTGACTTGTCCCAATTCTTTTAACACTCATTTTGCAAGAGTTTGCGCGCAAAGAGTCGGATAATAATTTTGCTTTTGATGCTGACGTGTTTTCACAGCAACGTTAATTAACCCGCGCACCGACGGGGGGGGGCGGATATCCGCCCCCCCCCCTGAGGTTTTTCGCGAATAGCGGGAAAACCGCGGCGCGTAGCGCCGCGAAATTTGGTATGACTATAACCTCATCAATTTTACACATGGTGTGCAAGTTTGAACCTCCTAACTTTTAAGGTCAGGTCACCAGGTCACTTTGAATGACCCAACCTCAAGTCACTTTTTTGCAACTTTGTCACCGTGCCAGAGCTACAGGAGATGTCGGAGGCCTTTGAAAGTCGCAGGATATTATTAGGTCATTAGTAGCTACAATTTGTATATCTCGGAATTTTGATATCGGTGACCTAAGGTCAGGTCAATTTCGCGACCTCCCCATTATAAGTCAATGGGGGAAAAATCAACTAAAACGGGTCGGAATGGCCCCATATACCATACATGACTTCATATACGATCAACCTTCACTACCTTGAGGTCTGTTTTGCTGTTGGGCAGCTGTGAGGTCATGTGACGTCATCAAAGGTCACCAAAGGTTTTTGGCCAATAACTCCGTACAGGAACACGATACAGACGCGTGGATGGTCTCATTGTGTTCAGCTCGTCAAGACGCATCGAATGATATACATGATGACCTCGAGGTCACGTGACCTGAGGTCAACCTTTGACCTTGACCTTTCGAGGTCAACATATATATCATTCGATGCGGATTGACGAGAGGATCACGATGATGCCCTTAGTTTGTTCCTATCTTGTCTAATTCGAAAGTTATTCGAGAAAACTCTCTCCATATCCAGCGCCGCCATTTTGGCTTTTTCGACCCCTGTGACGTCATCTTTGACCTGACCTGAAAATGACCTTTGTAATAATTGTAGATCTTGGCCGTGCGTATCCGATGCCGTTTACCGCTTGTCGCTATCTTGCTTCGTTCTCGAGATCTCAGGGGGGGGCGGTCATCCGCCCCCCCCCCCGTCGGTGCGAAGTTGGCGCAGACCCCCGTCGGTGCGCGGGTTAACTTCCGAAAACTTGTGGGCTATTTTTTGTTTTCATCTGTAATGCTGCTGGCAAACTTGTTGTTCACCTCAATGCCCGTTTCGTGACAAAACTTCTCGATAAATCACATTCGAGCACCAACTTTGAAATTAATCGGACTTGATTATATGATAATTTATATAAGAGTCGGCAAAAAACAACTACTTTTTCCGAAAGAGCTATCTTTTTAGCTATTGTAACAAATAATGCCGTCACTTTTGCGATGCACTGTATGCTCAGTGCAATGTGCATTGCTAATGCCTCAATCAGCTGAGGGTAGCTTTAATTACGTTCACGAATGATAAAGATTTGTCAAAGAAACGAGAGCGACGGCCAGGCCAGGCAGAGAGAGAGAGAGAGGAAGAGAGAGAGAGAGAGAGAGAGAGAGAGAGAGAGAGAGAGAGAGAGAGAGAGAGAGAGAGAGAGAGAGAGAGAGAGAGAGAGAGAGAGAGAGAGAGAGAGAGAGAGAGAGAGAGAGAGAGAGAGAGAGAGAGAGAGAGAGAGAGAGAGAGAGAGAGAGAGAGAGAGAGAGAGAGAGAGAGAGTGCCCGTTCGTTCGGTTCGTGTCGGTCGTTACACTCAGACCGTTACTGTCCCGATATATTGATTGCCATTGTTCTGGGTAAGAACGGCCGGCGGGCCGGGCAGTCAGTTCGGAAATCCATGACCGGCCCCGTCGGTAGGTCTGTGTGCTCCTCTGCTGCCCAGAGGCGAGGGCAGTTACCGAACATCGATAGCGTCGTCTAGATAGACAGGCGGCTCGGAGGAGAGGGCCATCGCCGCTGTCAGCTGCATGACAGACAGGAATAGACTGACAGTTTGGTGGCAGTTGACATGCATTACATTTTAGCCGTTTCACGACAGTGACTAGTCGCTTACAGTGACAGTAACGGTCTGACAGTAACGGTCTGACAGTAACGGTCTGACAGTAACGTTGAGAAGTGACGGATTGATGACGTTGAGAAGTCGTGTCGAAACGGTAAGTAACAAATGCAACGATAGCGATGCGTTTCCGCAAGCTAAGCAAAGTGATATTGGTTTAGTTTACTAGCGTGAATGAACAGGAAAGAGCATTCGATCCCGATGTTATTTCTAGCCGGTTTGCATTTGAAGTTTCATGTAGAAACTGCCTACTGATGAAAATTGTCCGCTCATTTTTTATCATTTTGAAAATGATATAGGTTAACTTTTCATTTTCATTTTTAACATTTTGTATGATGTACTGTCCAAATGAAAAATCATTTTTTATCCCTCGCCCGCACATGGGGGGGGGGGGGGTGGTTGCCACCCCCCCAGGCAGTCTTTCTGCTCTGCACTCAACATTTTTAGAGCTAGAAGGCTGATTTTTCGTATAGCTGCTCGTCTATCCTTTCTTGATGTCCACTGAAAATTTCAAGTTTCTGTGATTTTTGGTTTTGGAGATATGACCTTGTTTTTCAGGTCATGTCATGACCCAAATGGCCAATTCTCAACATCTTGCGTTTGCCATGGGCCTTGTGAGCTTTTGACACCCTGATTTCGGCCTTTTTTTGCCAGTCTTACCTCCCACCTATCATGGAACATGTTGTTCGACGATGTACAGGGGTCAAGGTCAGGGTCAAGGTCAACCTAGGTCATCTAAGATAATTGCGTTTTAGGCAAGCTGAATTTACTTTTTGTGAAGTTTTTTGACTGCATTTTTGGTAAAAGCTTCTCAGATCATGATTTCATGAGATATGGACCCAAAAACAATCGGTGCACACATCAGTATACACACAGACACACACAGACATACAAACACATATAATTGACCTTGACCTAACTTGACCTGAAATGACTTCAGCAGCAAAATTCTGGTCGGATAGTGTGACAAAGAGGTTCTAGCTGGCTTGGCACCAGAAAACAGCATCGTCATCGGTATTTGATAAGCAGCGCACTTGATATCCAACGGTGACCCAAAACAGCAACATTTTTTAGTTTGACCTGACCTGGAAGGTCAATGACTGACCTGAGAAGGTAAAACTGGGTATCATTGGATTCGTCTCTTCCCAAAGAATCTTTTTGGTCTTTACTGCTAAGCTCTATCTCCAACAGGAACGAAATGGCGCGGGGGGGGTGGCAACCACCCCCCCCCCCCCATGTGCGTTCTAGGATGGGAAAATGGCATGTGCGGGCGAGGGTTATTTTGAGTCATTCGTCGTTGTGGATTCGATCTCAGTTCCTTTTAGCGCTGTTACATTTTGTCGCTCCGTCGTACTTCTTTTGTTTCACTAGCACCAAAATGCTCAAAGCCTCTCACCCAACAGACCCCGATCAGGCCTGCTCACCTTGGCGAAGTCGATGTCTACGAAGCTGACGCCGTTGCACTGCAGGATCTGGTCTCCGGGTCGCAGTCCGACCTCCCTCGCCAGCCCGACCTCCTTGGTCGACTGTACAAACACTCCGGGCCAGCCGGGAGGGCCCTTGCAGATGCTGCGGCACGGTCAGCGGGTCAGGTCAGCTCAGCAGGGGTCCTCGCGTCATGTCAGGTCAGCGGGAGGTCATTGAAGTTGCGCTAGTTCAGTGGGAAGGCTCTTTGGCTCTTTGATTTGAGTTTAGCATGTTATTTATAGCTTCATTAGATCAAGGACTCGTACACTAGCTACCTTACCTAAGCTAACTAGTAACTACACACACCTAATATCCAGAGCCGAGCCGTATAAGTACAACCGACGGGAGCAATCGAAAACCAGGCTTCAGTACAGTACAAGTGAGCACATTTCCTTGATAGGTATTTCAAACCGGATGTCAAGGAATTAATATAGCTTGTTTATTATTGCAATTCAGAGTTTCGTTCCAACAACAGCTAGGGTGCGTTGCGTAGGTATAGGTACTCATTATTCTCGTTATTTTATCCATCTAGCTTTTATCATCGAGCTCTTTCATAGCGTTCCGTGCGGGAATGCGTGTCAATAGAGGCCTGTTCCTGAATTCACAAATGAATCGACGTTTCATCACTATTGCTATAAATCTTATTGTAACATCTGGGCAAGCCCTTCACAGCTGCAAACGCACTAAATATAAACTCACTAATGCACTGCGTTGCAGAGAAATCCGGCTGTGTAGATCCCATAGACTAGCCGCGTTAAAATTAGCCGGCTTCTTGTACTGGCAGGCCATTTGCACGTCCAGTATACCTAACCGTTTTTGTTCAGCGATGCAGCTTTCTATAAAGCGGATATCGTTATTACAACAGGCAAGCATTGATTGCATTGGACGCATCCTTGGAGCTGAGGGACACCCTGCGCCAGTTGCTTTAGGCCAGGGGGACGGGAGGGGGAGCGAGGTGGCAGACATCACCCGCAGTCGTTACCGCCATATTAATGATAGACCTGGACAAAAGCGTCGCTGCGTACGCCGTACCGCCCGTGCCACGTCGCCCCGTCGCCCGTCGTGCAGGCATCCAATCTCGGCAAAAAAATGGAAAAGTATGTTTTGCCCATTGGTGAAGGTCATGCAGATACTTATGTACCTCAGTTTCATGGGAGAACTCACGATAATTGCTGTATTGCGAGGCTTTTACCCTGATATATTCACCTGGTAAATTGCATTTTTTATCCGATACACGTCACAAGACCGGCGTGCTATACAGAGAGGACTACGTGACGGGTGCCTATCGTCTTTGCAATCCCTAAGCAGCAACGTCATTGCAGCAGTCTAAAGCCTCCAGCATTCCATGTTTTATTTTCAATGTAGGCTCGCTGCATTCCATTCTGATTCATCTTTTCCCTTCACAGCTTATATGGGGTGACAGTACCTAAGGGAAGTGTGCAGAAGTCAGAACGTTTTATCATTTGACTAAAAAGTAAAAGGGGCATTCTCTTGGTGTCATATTTCCAGCACGAGATAGTGATACACGCGCTATGGGCGTTCTATTGGACCACTTTGTCTTTTAGAGCAATATGTATTTATTATCTAACTTTGATTTTGCGGTTCAGCGGAAGCTTTCCGGAAGGTCTTTGGATCAGACTGACGAATGCGATTTTGGATGAAGAAGCTCGCCTTCATAAAAGACAAAGCTGGTCCAAGCTTAGAACTTAGCCATAAATTAAGCCTTTGTGTTTCGGCACAGTGAAGCAGGCATCTGTAATCCTTACCACTAGACCAAGAGATATTGCTTCCTAAATATATCACGCTTTGTTGAAGATAAAACAACAAATGCGCCCAGACATCTGCCCTTCGAAGCATATCACGGAAACGTACTAAGCATTTATCAGACGATTGAGTGTTTCCAAGTGGCCACGCTTCAGAACCAAATGGAGCGAACTGGTCTGGCAAATAACGTCATCGCGTCTTCGGCGGCCCCCGAACTGTGTTTTTCGGGCGAGCGGAAGCGGCGGAAGCCCGCTGAATAGATGTCACGGGATGCCCTTTCGGGGGCGGCGAGGTAGAGACTAGAGAGACACTTCCAATTTGGAGTCTCCGCCGGCGACCGGAGAGCAGGGGGCTCATTCCAATAACAGCCGCGCCCGCCTAGAGAGCTAATCCTCGAAACGGGTATCCAGCTGAAGCGGTGCATAGAAATGGCGGCCAAGCACACCCGAGGCCGTGGCTGTAGGGTTCAGTGTCTGTGTATCCGCGCAGCATCGCTGGCAGGATGTCCGAGTTGGAGAAAGGATGGGGATAATGAAAACGAAGTGAACTACTGGCATTTCTGTAATGGATTATCGAGGAAATGGAATTGAGTTCGGCTTGACCGCCAGTCGCGCAAAATGATTGATAGATCATTTTAACAGCAATGGTTAACAAAAGTATCACCATTCACCAATATTTAGTCACCTCAGCGAGCTCGTTTATCAGTCTATGATTTATGAGGCACGTGGTCAAAAACCGATAACTCGTCAGCAGTCCGACCAAAAGAAGTAACCAACCTGCAGCCGAGCGTTGTCTGTCCGGTGAGGCCGATGTATATACGAGTCTCGATGGTCTCCACAGTCCGCCAGGCCACGGACGCCCCAGGGTACCTGGAACATGTCAGTGCCTACATGTTAATCTACCTTTGCTATTAACTCTAAAATAAAAGCACAATCTCTGCAACTGAAAGCAATTGAGGGATCGGTAGGGTAGGTGTAGTTAAATCGGCTAACTGATAGTGTAAAACTCATTCACTATGTGTGTTTTTATGGAGCACATAGCCATAAATCTTGTACCAGCAATACATACAGCAACAAATAGGTATCATACGTGTACCAAGACAATGGACATCGTCAGTATAATCGTACTTACTCTTTGACTGGTAAAAGACCGACATCTGAAACGTAGAACGGAACACTGTAAAATGAAGAAAAAAAAATGCAGCAGCAAGCAAGCGTTATTTATTCCAACGACTCACATCACTAATTGCATCATCTCATAAGGTTCTTGTCAACTCGTGAGGTGCGCAGCTCAATTTTTCTAGCATGAGACGCTTCGTATGAATAACTGAAGCGGATTTGAATAGATAATTCCCCTCCTTCTGATGCATATTAGCTGGATTACCCGTGGCCCAGAATATTGCCCGGGACGAGTCTGTTTTCTTCAGCTCACACGGCACACGGCGTGCCTGGCAACAAGCTCTTGCTTTTTCCGCAACTCTTACTTTTCCCGCGACCTACTATATATACCCGATTTTGTCGGATTCTTGTCGGTTAGGTTTTGGGAATTCGCCACAGGAATCGCCATGCCTCGACATTTATTTTTTATTTTTCTGCCATTATGGTCTTAGTCTATAGGCGCATCCCCCTGTCTGGCAAAAATCGCGTCTTCTAGTCGTCGGCCACCGCCGCGCCGGCCAAGGGTCGATCGGCCGAGCCAGACAGCCGTGAGACCGACCGACAGCCGGGGGGGGGGGGGGGGCAGACTGGTGCGTGATAATCCGACCCGGTCCCGGCTCGACGCGGAGGCTGGCAGAGTGGATGCAGTGCCGATGTGTTCGTTGTGAATGTTATACATTTCTCTGCATATATAATTTCTATGGTGGGATGCTGAATAGGGTTTATCTGGAAATGCGTATTGTATTGCGCATCCAATAATGGGCTTTACATGAATTGTCGTCCCTATTCAACGTTGTCTGGGTTGATCAGCGCAGAAACGAAACAAACGACACTGTTATAATCAGCTTTTACAGCGAGTTATTGCAATCAACATAAATAGCAAACGCGATCAATGCATTGAAACCGTAATAATGCTTCATCAACTATATTCAATCAACTGTTTGTCATATTGTACAGATACCAGTCATGCCTATCTTACACTAGTTGCTTAAGTGTATTGTCCTGGCTAACACAGGCCACACCACCCGATCGGTCACCCCCACCGCTCCGTGTCCATCGTACCATGTCCGGAGCAAGTCGATCGCGTGCTCCGGACGCTTACCCCGACGGCAGAGTCGGCGGGGTAGCGTCCAGCAGTGCCTCCGCCAGGGAAAGTCGACAAACAAGGCGCCTGCCATGCCAATATAACGCACACAGCGGCAAATACTGACCACCCGAGACGCAAAAACACACGACTGGGTGTCCGCCCCCGCTTTTGACGCCGAGATCTGAGGTAAACGCTCGGTGTTGGGAAAGTAAACGGCCGGAAAGATTCGCCCAGCTACACGCATGATATATAAACGTTGATCTATGTAGGTTCTTTCTGAGCCAGGTTTTAGATTTGATTATGCATGCGTATAAAACAATCCCTTTTGATCCCCACACATCAAACCTCCCTGTCCAACTTTTCAACCATGCCCCCTCAAAAAAAAAAAAAACATTCTCCGGCCAGAGTTCCTTACCTCGCACCCTCAGCTGGACGAAGTTGCTGTTCTTGATGACCGATACCACCTCTTTGTGGGTGGATTTCTTCACTGAAAGACCGTTCACTTGGAGCACCTCATCTCCAACCTGAGGAACAACGAATGAAGTCCTGGTTAGCACACATGAGACGTGGGGAAGGGAGGGCATGGTCGATCGCAAAGGTCGCGAGGTTATGCTCGTATATCTGAGTTGCATAACGAGGTCGTAAGCCTGGACATTACTATGGTTGAGAGATGCATTTTAAATCACAAGTAACGTTTGCTCGGTTTGCAGATAAATGTGTTGAATGTTTTTGCATAAAGCTGCCATCAAAGATTACTGAAATATCGGTGAATCAACCATTCTCAGGGGTGAAAAATGCATTGCAGGCTATGCCAGATAAAAAGTGTAAATAAGTTCCCTGCCAGCCCCCAACAAGGCAAAGGTACTGTATTGAAATAACAAAAAAAAAAGAGGAAAATTGCATATAATTGCCACAATCACCTTCATTGCCATTCACCCAGGCCTGATATACGAGTGCAGTGCCTTCATACCAGCAATACGAGTCACTGACCCGATGCCTGGCCCGTCCCAGAGCTCCCAATAAACCTCGCACCGCAGTGAGTGCCCACACCACCAGTCATTCGGTTCCGCTACGAACCAAGTTCGGGACACCAGGACACGTGGCTCCGCCAAAGCTCAACCCCAGGGACGAAATTGTGCCCATGGAAGTGCCGGCATAACACGACCCGTGGACAAGTTGCGCGCTGCTGGAAAGTTTTCCGGTCGCGCTGGGTCGCTATTTCAACGAGTTCGGCAGGCTGAAGACGACCGCCGCAGAGCCGAAGCAGAAAGCTGGATACTAGATTAGTGATAAGAAACTCGTGCTCGCTGGATTCGCACGATGAGCGTCGACGAAGGTGATATTTTCTACTCAGTTGAATGATCTTATGATCTTCCTTTCCCTGAACGTGGCTTGAGTTCCTCCAACCTTTGTATAGGTTTAAGGTAGGATAATCGTAGCCTTCTCTCTTTATCAGCACCCAGCGGGCAGGTACCTTTTATTTGTTCCGTTCCATGGTGTGCATGATAAAGGCTATTAACCGCCGTAATGCTGTCGACCCTGACCTAATTTACTTACGTAAACGTTATTTCCGAACACCATTGGCCACTTACGTGAATGGCTGCGGCTTGTGTTCATTTTGCAGCAAGGGCTTCTTATGGCTCAACGCCAATCGTGGGTGCGTAAAACGTCGTTCATTTGAGCTGCAAAATGAAAATATCCGGAATGCCGGTCGTAAAAATTGCACTGTTTTCAGTGAGATGAGGACGCGCCTGGATGATTTATTTCATAAGCATGTGCAGCACCACAGCAATATAGCGCGACATTTCTGGCCAAAGGTCAGGTCACACGGGTCAACGATATAGTGTCGGAGCGCACCCGCGTGGCCCTGCAGTGGCGGGGCATAGTGGGGTCGTCTCGTCCCCACATTGAATTGATTGGCAACATAAATGGGGGGCCCCAGGTGTTTGCATGTCAACTTTTTGAGCTGACCCATGTAGGCTATTGCAAGTCAGAACAATAAAGGAGAATGCCTGCAACTGCATCGAACTACAAATTACAATCACTGAACTATCAGTATAGCAAAGTTAATAGATGTTCTATAAAGTAGCATAATTCGATGTTATCAGCAATATAGCATGGGCGCCTGAAAGACTCTAATGGAATTATTCATCGCTTTATTATTTAACCCGATTAGGGCAGGGAACAGATTCCACACCGACCCCCGTGCGGTGGCGCCGTCGTGCCTGCGTGAGTCAGCCCTCCGCTAAATTGTCAGAAGTCGAGCTCAGGGCCCTGTGAGGCTGACACGCTAGCCATTCTAGACCTCCAAGGCACGCGGCTAAAGTCCGGTACGGCGTCCGTCTGTGCCATTGTCACGCCGTTTTTGTGCTACTGTTGCCGTCGCGTGGCGTCACTTTACGTGACGCGTGACGTGTGACGGGTGTCGAGAAATGCGGGCGAGTGGAGACTCAGCTCGGTGACGCCATATTGGAGCCAATGCGGTGCCTCTGTTGTCATAGGTTAGTGCCTTGAAAGCGGTTAGATGTTCAATGCAAATCTCATTGGCTGTGGCTCTACAACTTGCTGTCTTGGGTGGGTCACGATACAGCGGCTGTTTTCTCTTAGGTGGTTCACAGACACACTGGCTGGCTTGTCTTGAGTGTCTCACAGCAGGCAGAGCATCCTCATTCTGTTCTGCGGGAAGACACCACTGCCTTTCTGTTCAGGGTCTTGGATGAACACAGAAGTTCTCATGTGAACGCTGCTCTAGCCTGCGTAACTCACATTTCACAGGCACACCAGGGGCATTCCACGTCAAATCGAACAAAAATCGGCTGTTTTGCACCTTACCATCAGCGATTTCATGATAAATTTGTGAGCGAGTTCCTGTGTGGCCCCGGACATTACATTGATGTTTTTTGCACATTCTGACCACAGGTCTTCTAAATATAGGGCATAAAATTCTTACAAAATGTTGCATCTTTATATTTTTGAACGACCATAACTTCAAGTTCAAGTTCAAGTTCGTTTATTCACGTCAAATCCGCTCTCATGCGACTTTTCACCAACGCACGTGGAAATGGTAAAACGGGAGATGGAGAGCACACACTCATCATACATAACTACATCAGAAATTCACGTCATCATCGGGAAGATTCACCACTAACTTTGGTTGTACTTGTTTGATTTGAATTAAATAAACCTTACTGTTTAGGTAATTTCTTAAGCATTTGTTTAGAATTGCACCTACTTAAATGTATGACTTTGAAATTTGCTTATTTCTGTTCTTAAGCACAAATATTGAAATAGCAAAAAACACGTCACCTTCGATTTGGCTCATTTTCATATATTTTATTGCCTACCATATTCTTAACAACCTGTGAAAAAAAATAGAGTGGGCCATTCATAAGTTTTGAAGAAAATTGCACATATGCAAACGTATGTTAGCACGCCCAGTGGAGGGGGAAGAGCGAATTTCGCCACCCCTCCTGTTTTTCGCCAATATCTCATAAGATTAATGCGAAATTAATTATGGCTGCCTGTCCAGAATTGAATTGGACATCTCATCGTGCAAGCAATAAGAAAATCGGTTCACAACTGTTCTAGTAATAGCGGTGTAAAGTGAACATCCTGTCGCCGCAGCAACGCGGCTACTCCGCGGCAGCCGGCGCCGACCGCTACGCGCCGCCTGAATTGTAGACTGTGCCGGGACGGAACGGAACGATTCCGTCTTTACATCGCGCTCCCTACCGCTGATTACGTTCGATTCGCGTCAGGGGCGTAGGATCCTATACAGTTGGGGGGGCTTCAGCCCCCCCAACCTGCTGGTCAGCCCCCCAACTTGCCAGGCAGCCCCCCCCAACATTATAAAATATGGACAAATTAAAGAAAGCTCAACTTGGCAAAGTTACAATTTTGGGTAGTAGTAAAGCAGGCGTCACACTTCTTTTTGCAACCAAGGAGATGCGCTATAGGTTAGACTGTAGGGTGTAGGTTTTAGATTTTAGGTGCTAGATTTTAGGTTGTAGGTTGCAGGTTTTTGGTTGTAGGTTGTAGGTGAGTTTAGGTCAGGTTTGGTAAGGTTTGGTCCGATTAGAAAGCTTCCTGGAGTCTGGGTAAAGCGCCTCTCTGCTTTACGACTAACTACCCAATTTTGGCCTTAAAACTAACTGGGGGCTTTGAAAATGTGCATTGCAATGGAGGGAGTAAATCAAATTTATAAAATGACTTTCGAGTCATTTGAAAGAACATACTAGCAAAACAAAACCAGGAAGGTACACATAAAAATCAACTGTGGTTTTAGCAAGCCTGAAATAATCAATTGGTCAGCATGTTAGGACACCAGTACAGCAGGCGTCACCAAGCAACTTCGGTTGCGGTATTTTACAAGAACGGTTATCTTTATATATTTATGTGGGTTATCTCACCCAAGGCCATCTATAGATCTCCCCCGCGTTCGATGTCTCCCGGACGGCAAAGATTCTATGCCGTCCGGGCCCGAAATGGCGTTCGATGTCGCACGGACGGCAAAGATTCTACGTGACGTCACGTAGAATCTTCGTCGTCCGCGCAGAATCTTTTGAGCGTACTACGGTGGGCAGAGAGGCAATGATGGCGCGTATTTCAAAAGCGGCGCAGCAGCTGTTTGCAGAAGTTGTTGACATTTGTACGCGGTCTCTATGGAAACGTAAACTTGGGCCTTTTTCGAAACTGACGCACATTGTGTAAGTGGCGCACAAAATGGCCGGTGTCGTCGTCCGCCTGTGTGCTTCATCGAACGCAAAATAGAATATTCTGCGTAGAATGTTCTTCGTCCGAGGAGACATCGAACGCGGCCCTCACCTCCCGAACGTTGTCACACCGTTTTTGTAACAAGACTAGTAAAATAGAGGTGAAATCAGGGGCGGATCCAGGAAAACTCCAAGGGGAGGGTCATGAATCGAAGTGGTGCCCCTACCTATACCCAAAATTAAAAACTCAACGGATTTCGTCCGCTTCATTTTGGTGGTGCCCCCATTTTCAGTTTTTTATTTTTATTTTTTATTTTTAGTCAGTATCTTACCTCTTAGCCACAACCACATTTACCAATTGTAAGCAGGTATATATGAATGTGCTATGTGTATATATGTTGTGGACGCTGAGTAATGAGTACTTACCAGGAACGTTATCAGGTAAGCAAATCGTTGTCAGTCCGACGAACTTGACCCTGGCGTCTAAAGGGTCTGTCCTTGACACTTCAGGCTTGTCAGGGGCACCAAAGTCCTTCCAGGGACACCACAAACCTGTCAGGGGCACCTACGGCCTTGTAGGGGCGCCACAGGCCCGCCAGGAGCACCACAGGCCTGCCAGGAAGCAGGGGCACCACAGGTCTAGCAAGTATACACGACAGGCCTGTCAGGGGCACAACGGGCCTGTTGGGCCCATGAGCACCCCTAGGGGCAGGGGCACCACAGTCCTTCCAGGGGCACCGCAGGCCTGTGAGGGGCACCAGCGGCCTAGCAGGGGCACCAGTCAACACAGGCCTGCCAGGGGCACCACAGAC